GTACATTTGGCCCTGTCACTTAATAGAATTGAGGTAAATATTCTGAAAATCTCTGTCTCTGAAATCCAATTTTTCTAACCTCAAGTACTGGCTTTCCTTCTTTCTCTGATCCTCCAATTCTCTCTAGGAATTTTTAAAAGGTAGTAGGTTTCTTCTAGGCATGTCCCATTCTGGGCCTCAGTGTCTCCCTTTTGTGGTACGATGTGGTTGGCCTAAGTGAGTGGAAAAGATGATGGAGCCAGCTTTTGTAAGATTTTTCAATGTTAGGCTCAGTATAGCTATGTTTTTTCACACTTAACCCAGTTTGTTTCAGTTTCCTTATATGTAAAATAAGCTGGAGAAGGCAACAGCAAACCACTCCAATATCTTTGCCAAAATACCCTAAATGGGTCATGAAAATAACTGAACAACAAGAACAGATGCTAGATATATAGAGACCAGTTCAGGAGCTCTCAAAATAATCATGAATCTGACCTAGTGTATCAACATTGAGAACATTATAAAGTATAAAGGAGAATGAATGGACTTGATGTTTAATTGAATATAAGAGACTGAGAAATGGAATTGTAAAATCAGAAGTTTTAATCTACAGTGGTGAACAAATAATGCTATCTATAATCAAGAAATCCTAATAGCTAATTTTGTACAGATTTGGTACAGGTGATTTCAAGTTTCTGTACATGTTGAAATTTAAGGTGATTCTTTGATATTTAATGGCAATAATTAATTGGAAATCAGTGGCCAAACATTAGAAAGGAGTTGCCATCCATACACCCAATCAATCATCTCTACTCGTGTGTGTGTGTGTGACATGTGTTACATATGTGAATTTGCATATACAGACATAATTTTATGTTTGTAATATGGATAACACATCTTATTAAAATGAAATTAAAATTTAAAAAGTAAATTTCACATAAATTTGTACTGCTATGTTGTTAAGATTAAATGCCTGTTGTACCTTCAAGAATATAAAGTAGCCTCTGGGTTTTGATCACATTTGTATTTTCCTCAAAAAGTCTCCAGACAAACAAGAACATATCCCCACTTACTTAAAGCAAAATAACATTTATTTTCTCTGTAAGTGTTGCCTTAAAGCTTTCATAAACTAAATTCAACACATATACTTTAATTTCTTATTAAAAAGAATGAAATATACTTTTTTTTTAAATTCAAGGAGATGAAACGAACACTACATCTGTTCCTGTTTTAATGGAAGAAGATGATGATGATCCTGAGAATTGGTATGGTTTCATCCCTGAAGTTTTAATTAATTGTAATAACTATTGTTATGGCATGTGAAAAACCAAAAACACCAAAAAGTTTGTTAAAAGAAAAACTTTCTGCATTAACGAGACTAAAGTTTATTAGAGATTTATACAACCAAAAATTATGAATGAGAATTTACAGCATATTCATTATTTATATTCAGAGGCACAACAAGTTGCATTTCTTTTTAATTTTGTATATTAGATGTAACATCAGTAATGAGGGCTTTAATCTTCTGTAGCTTTTACTGAGTTATAAAGATGCATAGAAATAGTTTTATAATTAAGGCAATTGTCTTTTGCTTAATCACATTTAATAAGAATTAGTATCTATCTATCTATATATAAATATGTATATATATATATACATATATTTAAAAACTAGATATTATGACACCGAATTAGATTAAATTTGCCAATTTTTGATCCTTTCGAAAATGTTTTAGGGCTTTACAATACTCAGTGTCATGGCTTTTTATATTATCATAGATCTACAAATAACAGTGATTTTCTTTAATAGAAATGGTTTTACTCAATACACATTTTGTTGTTCATATTTTAAGTCTCTTACTCAGGAACCACAAATCAAAAGTAGATCCATTGGCATTTTGAGATAATAATTTTCTCTTTAAAATTCAAATATACGAGTGGCCATAATACCTCATTTTACAGAAAGATTATTGAAATCGTTTATATAGGTTAAGTCAAGCCAAGTCACTCAGTCAACAAGCATTTTATTAAGCATTTACTATGTGCCAGCCAGGAAAAAAATTCCCTGCTCTCTGGGAGCTCACATCCTAATGGAGGAGAAAGCATGTAAATACCTATACACACAAGATATACATAATAGAAATAGAGATAGAAAGTAATCTTATAAGTAATATCAGAGTAAGTTATTAAAAGATTTCATTCAGTAAGAGGTTTTCCTTACCTCTTCATCTCTGCCTCTTGGCTTCCCTAGATTCCTCCAAGTTTCAGCTAAAGTCTCATTTTCTGCAAGAACCCTTTGGTTGGTCCTAATCTTAGCGTCATCCTCTGAGACTATTTTTAGTTTATGCCATATTTAGCTTTTTTGTACATAGTTGATTGAATGTGGTCTCCTTTATTAGACTGTGCATTCCTTGAGAGTAGGGAATTCTTTTTTCTGGTTGTTTTACATTCAGGTACAAAGCATTAGGTTAAGAAATACTTCTTGACACAATATATTTTTGTGCTTATTTTACTTCACAACATTTGGAAGTTCTTGCTATTTAAGTCAAATATAAATGTAGTCATAAGATGACTGTTTTAATAATTATTTTATTGTCTATTTTTCTTGCTTAATTTTCTTGGGTTATTTTGGATTCATAATTACATAGTGTTATTTATTTGAGAATTAGTTTGTTCTTAACTAGAGAAAATATCTTATCTTAAAGGATTACCAAGAAGACTCTCTTAGAAGAAATAAAAGCCAATTTTTCCTCAGATGAAAGTGAAGAATCAGATGATACTAAAAACATTACTGAAAAGAAAGATGAAACAAATACAAGAAGTGAGGGTGAGAAGCATCAGAAAGATATACATGAATATGTTCGTTTCTTAGCTTTATTAGCTCATTGTGCTCCTGAAAATTGTAAAATTAATAGCTTTTTCAAACAGATGCCATTTACAGAATTGTTGGGAACCATTATAGCATTTAAATATGTCCAATGACATAATTAGTTGTTGACAACATGAAAAAGATGAAAAAAACCCTTTTTTTAATGTGGCATTTTAGCTCAAGAAGCCAAGTATTATAAATGTTTTGTTAAAAAAGATTTGTAGTTGTGAGGTGAAGTTTGGATAGATCTTAAGTACTCAATACTCAGATGAATCTGTGATCTGATTTATTCAAAAGCTGCTTCCAGGGATGTTAGATCACAACCCATTTGTGTGTCCACATAAATTCCTTTTTTTTTTTTAAATTTCATTCTTAGGGATTTGTGAAAAAAGCAATTTGAAATCTGATTCAGACTCTGAGGAAATTAAGAAGCTGAAATACAGATCCCCACTGGTTACATACAATCTAAATATAAGTGGTGGAGAATCTGCAGAAGAAACAAAAGAAAGCAACCACAGAAAGAGGAGGAAAGGTAAAAGTAAAATTCCTTAAATTGGTACAGTGGAAAGATGCCTGCTTTCATCAGTTAAATCAACACATATTTGTAAAGTGCTTTCTATTCATCCAGGGCTGTGCAAGGTACTGGTAATATAAATTAAAAACAAAGCAGTCTGTACCAGTAAGAAGCTTATATTATATCAGGGGAAGATAACAGACATATCAATAGATACACAGACAGGCAGATGTGTGTGTACTAAGTAAATATAACAGAAATTTGGAGGTGATAGATATTAATACCTCCAGGGATCACAAAAGCCTCATGTAGAGACATTTAGATGGTTTATTTAATAAAAAACTGGGCCTGTAGTCAGGATAACAATGACATCCTAGGATTATTATGAGGATAAAATGAGATAATATTTATAGAGAGCTTTATAAATCTTTAAGTCCTTTCAAAAAAAGCTGCTCTTTGTCCTCCTCGTCTTTTTTTTATTAGTAGTAATTTTGGGGTGAGTAGAGGAATTAACACTTGAGAGGATCAAGGAAGGCCTCATGTAGGAGATAAAAGTAATCCAGGTGAGAAATAATGAGGTTTCTGAATACGAATTGAAGTTGTATTATGAGGAGAGGGACCTAGATGTCGGGTAATGTGGAAATAAAAGTGACAAGATTTGGCATCTGATTACATTTGTGAATACATGTATGAGGTTGTGAGAGTGAGTCACTGGAAGAAAGGTTAACCGAAAGAAGAATAAGAGATAAAAATATTGCCATATATATAGCAAGAGATGTTAGTTTATGGGGAAAATAGTTTTATTTTGAATGTATTGAATAAGAAATGGCTGTGAAACATCTCATTTGAAACATCAAATGGTGATGTGGGACTTGATCTCATTAGAGTTCTAGGGCTGTTTGTATAGATCTGGAAACCATTTGCATATATACTGATTAAACCAATGGCAGTGGGTGGTATCTATGAGTCATATACTAGAAGAGAAAAGGGTCAGGAGAGAACATCGGTGTATAACTGAGGTTCAGAGAAATGATATTAGATAATAATGTAACAACGAGAATAATTAGAAAATTAGGAGGGTGATGGGGTCACAGAGACATATTGTTTGGAAAGATCTTAAAGACCACTAAGTCCAACACCCTCCTTGCACAGAAGAGGAAATCAAGGCACAGCAAAGTTAAGGGAATTTCCCAGGGTTACAGTAAAATTGTCTGATTAAAGCAAAAAGAGTACAGTGTCATGAAAACTTAGAGAAGAGAAAGCATCCAGAAAGTTAAGAAAAAGGATCAAATATGACAGTTTAAGAAGCCATTGGTTATGTGGAGAATGACATAGTCCTTGAGGGAAGAATAAAAGGTTTTTCCAGCTTTAGTGAGAGTCCAATTAAGATTAAATACATTTTTTAGTGAACCTTCTCTCCCATATCTATATGTATATGCATATACATATATGTATATATGTATATGTATATGTGTGTATATGTGTATGTATACGTATGTGTGCATGTGTGTATACGAGTGTGTACATGTGTGTGTGTGTATGTGTGTATATATGATTTTCACCAGCACTGTTTAGTAGCATATGAGTAGTAGATGTGGTTTATAAATTGGTGTTTAGCAAAGTGTCAGTGGCAATAGCACAGAGACAGGGATCCAAAAGGGTTGCATTTGCACCTAGCACAGTGCCTGGCACATAGTAGGCACTTAATAAATCCTTGTTGATTGATTATTGGAGAAGTAGAAGACAGTTTAAAGCTGAAGTGGTTAAATACAGAGTTAGATTGGGAAATGAGGAAAGTCAAGCCATAGTAGAGGTGATGAATTTCAGCATGTTATAGTGAAGACAAATAAGGCAAGAAAATGTGAAGAAAGAATAACATAGAAATTAAAAATGTCAGAATATTCGTGCAAGTGGTGACAGCATAGAAAATCCAAGGAAAGTTAGGAAGAGTTAGGGTGGGGGAAGGTTGGGAATGAAAATACTGAGATTAGTTTTGGACATGTTGAGCTTAAGATGTCTATGCGAATCCAGTTAGAAATGTCCTTTAAGCAGTGGAAGATGTGAGTTTGGGGATTAGGAGAAAAGTTAGAACTGGATAAGTAGATATAGAGGTTATAACTGAATGCTTGGGAGCTGATGAGATTACCATGTGAAGTAGTGTAAAGAGTAAAGAAGAGAACAGAAACAAAGGTATGAGCTAGCATTTTGTTGACATGATCTATGTTTGTGGGGAAATAAGTACCCTTGAGATGGAGTGACTAGTCAGGCAGGTAGGAGGAGATCCAGGAACCTAGAGAGAAGGAGAAAGAGGATGATGGACAGTGCTAAAGATTGTATTGAGATCAAGAAGAATGAAGTCTGAGAAAAAAAAAACAATATTGGATTTGACTATTAAGTAACTTGGCAGAGAACACTTTTCAGTGTAGAATCTACTCTAAAGAACCTAAGAGGGAAAAAAAAAGTGTAGGCAGCCTTGTAAAGGACCAGACAAAAGAAAGAGATATATTGGATGAAAAATAGCAGGGATGAAAGGAGTGCTTTTTGAGAATTGTGGAGACAAAGATAGGCAGTAAAAAAGCATACCAGTAGACAAGGAGAGACTGAGGATGGGATAATAGAAATAGCAACATGCTTAAGAAGCTGAAATGGAATAAGCTTGTGTTGGTGGCTTTGGAAAGAAGGACCATCCATTGATGTGAGACCGGTTGAAGAAGGAGATAATTGTCATCTGAGTGATATGACATGAGGATTGAAGCACTTTTTTCAGTGAAATATGAGGCAAGATTCTCAGCTGAGTATGAGGTTTGTGGAAGGAGAAATGAAAAGGTTTAGAAAAGATGAGTAGGTTAGTGAAGAGGGATGACCTTGCTGCACTAAGGGCCCATTTGAGATTGTGTAACGTAAATTTGTAGTGTGATTTTGTCATTTCCTTTGTCTTTGTTCAGTTACATCTGAGTAGGAGAGTATCAGATGGTGGAAATAATCCAAGGCTAACGTCTGGTAGGACAAGATCAGTAAAAGAATAAGGAGGGAAGGCCCTCTAGAGAAGACAGTATAGCATTTGGCAGACTGGTTAGCCAAAGGGTCAGAATGGGGAAGAGAAGAGAGTGTAGCCATTGTAAGGGTTGGTTGCTTGATGTCCTTCTTTCTTGAAGAGGACCAAGATGACATCACTATGTTAGAGTCAAGTTACTCAGACCAATATGAGGTCTATCATAGATTGTAATGCTGTGGAAAGAGCTGATGAGTGGAGAGATTAGATATCAAGGTGAGGGTTCTTTGATTGTTTCTTCATTTCTTTAGTTGGCTGTCCTTAACTGTTTTTCCATTGCACCCAGATTTGCTTTGCAGCCACTAGATGATGGGTCACAGCTTTTTCTCCTTGGAATGAAGTTGTCCATAAAGTATAGTACTCTCTCACTAGCTACAGATTTGCCCATGTCTTGTTACAGATCTCTCTCCCTTCACTCACAAAGTGTCCCTTCAGTTGGACCACCTCCCAGAATTGAGATTTATCCTTTGCTTTTCACGTTTCTCACCTATGACTTCTCTTGCTGCTGAGACATTATTGTTAGAGAAGATATACCTTGGAGGAGATGTCTCTTGGCTAGGTATGACACAGAAAGAAATTTTTTTTGTTTTTTGTTTTCTCTTAAAAATCAGACTGAACCCCAAATCACTGGTCCCAAATTAAGCCCTACTTCATCACTATTTGGGCCTGATTGGCTCAAAATGAATGTAAATAACAATTATTTCAATTTTGGTCAAAAACCGTGAGGGTGTTCCCCTCCCAGATCTATTTATTTTTATTTTTTTCTATTTTATTAATTTACTTTGATTTATCAACAATCACTTCAACATGCTTTTGAGTTTAAAATTTTTCTCCCCTTCCTCCCCACCATCCTCCCTATGCACACAATCTGATATATGCTATACATTTACATTCCTATTAAACGTATTTTCACATTAGTGAAGTTGTAAGTACAAATTCTCACTAGTGTTTTGCTTTTGACCACTGCCTCCCTCAGTCCCTCCCTCCCTTTCTGTTTCTTCCCCTTTAGCCTTACTGCTTTTTCTCTCCCTTCTATTTCCCCTCCCATTTCTTTCCCCTTTTCCCTCCTACTGCCTATAGGGCAAGTTAGTTTTCTATACCTAACTGATTAAGTTATTACCTTCTTGAGCCAAATCTGAAGAGAGTAAGGTTCAAACAATGCTCACCCCCCTCCCTTATTTCCCTCTGCTGTAATAGGATTTTCTGTCTTTTTCTGTAATGTAATTTACCCTTGTCTGCCTCCTTCTTTCACAGTTCATTTTCTAAGATCAGACTAATCCACTTACTTGGATCCATTTAACCCACTTGATTAGATTTTTTTTATCATAACATCAAAGTTAACAAATATCCACCCCCTTTATGTATACTCCTTTAACATGGTGTAATAACAATACAGTTCTGAAGAGATGCAAGTGTCATCTTCCCTTGCAGGAATGTAAACAGTCCATACTTATTAACAGCATATTGTATCTTTCTGTCCCATTTACCTTTTCATGTCTGTCTTGAGTCTTGTACTTGAAGATCAAATTTTTTGTTGATCTCTGGTCTTTTTATCAGGAAGGCTTGGAAGTCCCCTATTTCATTGAATATCCATATCCTCCCTTGAAAAATCATGCTCATTTTTGCAGGGTAGCTGATCCTTGGCTGTAATCCAAGCTGCTTTGCCTTATTGAATATCATGTTCCACGCCCTGCGGTCTTTTAATGTAGAAGGGGTGAGGTCCTGTGTAATCCTGACTGTGGTTCCATGATATTTAAATTGTTTCTTTCTGGCTGCTTGCAGCACCTTCTCTTTCATATGGTAATTTTGGAATTTTGCTATTATATTCTTTGGCGTTGTCAATTTGGGATCTCTTTGAGGTGATGTATTCTTTCTGTGGTTATTTTCCCTTCTGGTTCTAGGACTTCAGGGCAGTTTTCCTTTATGATTTCCTGAAAGGTACTGTCCAGGCTCTTTTTTTTTTATC